GATTTTTGTAATAATTATTATACATTACAGAATAATAAAAAAATAGTTAAGTTATCTTCATTTTAAATTTGGTTTACAAATTTTCAAAATAGCGAGGTTTCAATTGGAGACCTATTATTGGTTCTCTCTATATGTTATGTTCATTAATACAATGGAATAGGTAACACAGTGGTAAGACTGATTTGTTCCTTAATGATATTTTTATATTTCCTTAGCTAACATTATTTTAAATAATAACTTGTGCAAAACTAAAAAGCTGAAGAATTAAGAGTTGGTTTAAAGATTCAGGTCATATTCTTGCACTAGAAGTATTTCTGGATGATTCTGATATGCAGACTCATAATTTTTAATTAATTGCATTGCTTGATTAGTACTTATAAAGGAGTACATGGTGACATGGTGGTAAAACACAATTCTTTGTGATATTGACCCACATAGTAGAGGTCTGGGTTTGTGTTCAGAGACCTCCTTGAGTATACCAGTCACATGTTAAGCATCATCTTTGATTGACTTAGGTTAGGGGTACCTTACATAATTCAATACTCTATTGCTAGTGCTGTCTGTTTCTCTTTGTCTTCCTTACTCATGGGAGAAATATTCGGTTGTTGGGAAAGTTATAACATATTTTTCTATTCAAAAATGAATCATGAGTTTCCTGACAACACAGTAAATAAACTATATTTTTTAAAAATTATATTTTCAATTTAAAGTAGCCACAAAAGTGATGTGTTTGTGTGTGTGTGTATGTGTGTGTGTGTGTGTGTGTGTGTGTGTGTGTGTGGTTAGGTAGGGCATGTGTGTACGTGAAAGAGAAGTTCAGTGAGCAGCACAACATGTTGTAATCCCTTTCTCTGAATACCCATTCTCCTGACCTCTAGCTTCCTTCTCTTCTTTCTTCACCCACTCAATTTTCCCTTTCCTACTTCACTGCACTTTCTTCTTTGCTGTCTTTATGTACTCCCGTATTCTAACAACTTACTATAATATTCAATACACAAACAAATTAGCCTTTGCTGCTAACATAAATCAAACCATATGTATTCTTTATATTTCTTAGTTTTATTTTGTTTGTTTGTTTTTGTTTTTTTGTTTTTGTTTTCATTTCATTTCCCTCATTGTTCTGCTGGTTTTTGTTTTTGTTTTGTTTTTTTCCGATTTGTTAAATTTATTTTCTGGTTTCAACACTAAAGCAAAATGGAACTTGCTTTTATTAAATCAATGAAAAGTGCATTAATTTGCACTCACAGGAACCTCTGTCACTCCTTCTCCTACAAGAGTATTCATTTGGCACTGACTTTCCCTTGGTCCTTCAGTTTCTTCTCTTCACTTCCCCAAACTTAATTTTCCAATGTTCCTCCTTCTCTGATTGTTATGCTCAGTATCCTTTCTCTGGTATATGCCTTCTATCTCTGTGGTATCAGTAGGACTTAATAGTGTATAAGAAAATGAATGTTTTTGAATAGTTATTTTGGCTTTATATAGACATGCTTCAGAGATAGGAGTATTCTGCAGGAAAAGTGAAAAACAGGAGGAAGTGAGGCAGCCAGGGAACAGCCGAATTCATGCCCCAGCCCTGGCTCGGTGAGGACTGCATTTAGTGCTACTCACCTCAGCTGCCAGAGCGTGTGGATGTGGCACATGTTAGGGAAAGTTCTGGCCTTGCTGCCTTGGCTGCCTTTTCAACCTCAGTCCACTTAGTTTCTGTACATGTTCTTCCTACTTCGATATGCCAAATTTGATGGAATATGCTTCACTGGCCAACGTAGATCATATCCCTTCTGCCCAAAAGAAGGAGGAATGAGAAGTGACTTTTTAGTTTATTTTGTTTTTAAAGGAGTAGGTCAATTCTCCCATAAAGCAATACTCTAGTGGTAAACAAAGCAGGTTCAGATTTTGCTCATTGTATTAACAATGTATATTATTATTCTTTTTTATTTCCAGATGACATTTCTTCTATTTTCTTTTCTTTTTCTTCTTCCGTTGTGTCCAGTCCAGGACATTAGGTCATTACTAACTGTGCCTTCAGCTACGACAAGAACTCCAAGTTACTATTTTGATTAAGTTCTAGTAGGTTCCTATATCTCTCCCAATTGTTCTATAATGCTCACTTCACAAACTTGTTAGCACATTTGAGTTCTTAAGTATATTAAAAAAATATATATTGCCATTGAGTATCCCTGCTTGCCAGAGTGAGATAAAGATCAAGGGAGAAAGAAAGGAAGAAAGAGAGAAAATGCACCCATTCTGAAGGGATGTAGCCATAATGTTTTTTCCTCCATTTGTCTTTTCCACTAGAATTTTGGGCAGGTACACACAACGCACACCAGTATGTTTCTTAGGCCACCAGACCAAGACTCTAAATGTGGTCAACCATGTGGGAGCTAGTTCCTTGAACCACTGTACTAAAGCACAGACTCCAGGCAAATTTCGATGACCATCTCCCTAGTAACCCACTCACCCGTCTCCTATGCACTGATCACCTCCTTCACATGTAATTTAACTAAATTGCAGTGACTCTTGATTGGGAGTTCTTTTAATTTAACCTTTTATCTTCCTCATTATTCTAATATTATGTCACACCTGGTGTAATCACTTCACATGCATTTGAATAACCCGGGAACATTTTCAAAATGCAGATATTAATCTTTGTCCAAGAACAAAGATTAAGATCTCTATTTCTACACTACAGAACCCAGCTGGATCTCTGTTTTTCACCCACCACAAGAAAGGTAAAATTTAAAAGCTATCTTACAATGCTTCTCACAATTTAAAGAGCTTTCAGGGAGTACCTATGGCTTTCAGAATAAAATTTATGAATCTACACATGGCTTTCAATTCCTTTTATAATCCTGGACTTCAAACATCTTTTCCCTTGAAATGTATGTATGCCCCAGGTACATATTTTTAAATATATTTTATGAGCTGTGGTTTGATATATTTAACATATAACCTAACATTTAAAAAATAATCAGTTTTTCCTAAAATGTTAATTCACAAAAATTTGTTGATACTATAATATCACTTAAAACTTTTTCAAATATCCTAAAGATAGTTTCTATATATTACATTAAAACTAAAGAAAATTATGAGGACTCTAATAAGTTCTTTGCAACACTCCTCCCACAATTTAAATTAATGGTTACAAATAGTGAATGTTATTTTGATAATTACTGCCTTTCATTTTAGGGGACATCTAAAAATAAAACATGGAAAAGAAAAATGCAACATTGCTGACAGAGTTTATTCTCACGGGACTTACCTATCAACCAGAGTGGAAAATCCCCCTCTTCCTGGTGTTCTTGGTCATATATCTCATCACCATGGTGGGAAACCTTGGACTGATTGCCCTCATCTGCTATGACCCTCACCTTCACATCCCTATGTACTTATTTCTTGGGAATTTAGCATTTGTGGATACTTGGATGTCATCCACAGTGACCCCAAAGATTCTGGTCAACTTCTTAGCAAAGAGTAAGATCATATCTCTCTCTGAATGCATGATACAATTTTTCTCCTTTGCAATCGCTGTAAGCACAGAATGTTTCCTCCTGGCAGCAATGGCATATGATCGCTATGTAGCCATATGCAGACCCTTACTTTATCCGGTGATTATGACCAACAGACTATGCACGCGATTGTTAGTCTTGTCATTTGTGGGTGGCCTTTCTAATGCTTTCCTTCATGAAGGGCTTGTATTCAGAT